ACCTTAATAATTTTTATTATTTACAACATTACATTTCTCTTTAATTTCTTTTACCAACATTTTTTCTTATATTCCTCTTCTTTTCAATATATATATATATATATCTTCAATTATATATATTTTTATATATAAACATATATTTATATTTTTAATTATATATACCTATATATAATATATTTAATTATATCAATTTTATATACACATATATTTATATACTTAATTATATATTTTTTTACATATATACATAAATTTATATATGTATTTATATATTTAATTATATATAAATACATATAATATATTTATATATTCTATATTTAATATTATATTTTTTAAATTTATTTATTATTATTATTATTATATATAATAAAATAAAAATAAATTAAAAAATTTACTCAAATATAAAACCATATTACTTTTTCAATTCAAACAAAAATTATTATTATAAGACATTAATAAACTCTCATATAAATATAATTAAATTTAAATATTAATAAATTCTATACTTAATATTAACGAACAGTCATTTAAGTTTTCCAATCATGCCGTTAAATTTTTTTTTCTTTTTACTCTCGTAATATTTTCTTAATTCCAGTTTTACGCTTAAACATCAAATTTTTGTTTTTCTTCTAAGCCGACCTGCTTCTTCTTCTTCTTCTTCTTCTTCACATCAGCTTGCGTCTTCTTCTTCTGCTTCCACTTCTTCGATTCGGCTGTCTTGCTTCACCTCTCCTTCTTCACATCAGCTTGCGTTTCCCCTGGCTCCTTCCCATCACTCGTGCTTAAGTGAAAAAAAAAAAAAACCAGGGACAGGATCCAAAAGACGGGACTGGTGTCGAGACCCGACTGCTTCTCGGACGTTGATGCAATTTCCCGACGGTCGTTGTCGACCCGGAGATCGTTTTCATCGTTTCGGGACTCGCCGAAACCGTCGTTGTCGTCGTCGCACCAATCGTCGCCCCCCAGGGGCGGGGTTCGGACTGTTCTCGGGGAACCCACTTGTGATGCGGAGAGAGGCGTGTTTCCATTGGTTAGAATAGATGATGTTTTTAGAGTTTGATAAGGAAAAAGAGTTACAGAAAAATGGTGGATGGTATCATCATATCAAGTAAGTTTCTGAGGAAGGAGAAACCCAGGGGTATCATCATGTATTAATGTAAATTTATCGTGAAAGTTTCAAACTTTAGATGATATGTTGAAGACGACTGCCATTTTGTCCATGCCCATCATCTTCTTAATTCAAAATATGGGTGCAGTGGGGTGTATAGATACATATATATATATATATATATATAAGTGATGCATCACTATCCTTTACGGGTATGGTTATTCAACTATTTATTATTGCCGCAAGAACACTTCAAATTTTTACTTGAATATCATAACTAATTTTCTCTTCCATCTTTTTTGAATAAAAAATTTGATGTAGAATTAATTTTACCTATCTTTAATTTTATCAGCTGCATGGTAACATGAACCCAACAAGATATCAAAATTAAAAATTATTCTTAATAAAATTTATTTATTTATTTTATTCATAAAAAAATAATAATAAATATTATGTAATAAATAATTTTTTAATTTTTTTTTCAATTTATAATTATAAATAAAAAAATTTAGTTTTAAATTAATTTTTCATATTAACTATAAAAATTTTAAATTTTTATTCTTCATAACAAATTTATTTTTTGATATTTTTAAAAAAATTCATTAAAAATTATAATTTAAATAATTTTACAAGTTAAATAATTGAATTACAAGTTAAATAAATTTGTTCTTCTTTTTCACTTAATATTACATACAATAAGATATGGATAAATTAATAATTTGACTTAATATATAATCATACAATCTTATCAATCCAGATAAAACAGCTCTCATTACCATACATTAATACAAAATCTTTACAAACATGATATAACTCTGTCATTACCATCATGTGCAATTAACATAAATTATCGTATATTAATTACCCACTACAAAAATAATTCAAACAAATAATTTTTTTTTCTAAAATATATTATAATTTCTTCTTAACATTTTTTTATAAATTAAAAATTATATAATCTAACATTAAAAATTATATAATACAATATATAGTGCTTTAAGGAGTGAACAAAATCATGTAATCATTTTTTTATGCATTATTATATTGTATTTTATTTAATATTTTTCTAATCTTATTTAGTTTCTGTTTAAAGTACATATAGTAGAATAAGATCACTAAATATTTTTAGTAAAAGATCATGTCGATTTTAATTAATAAATAATAAAAATAACAGTAATTATTTGATTAAATAGTTATATTATTGAAATTAAAATTTAATCTCCTTTCATAATTCAAATACAGTAACTAATTCGTGATGTTATTCGATAGTTTTACATAAAATTTCACTATTCTCATAAGCAAAATCACATCTCTCATTATGAGCTTTATATACATGCTTCTAAAGCTACTCGGAAATTATAAAAATAGAACTTGTATTAGACATGAAATCAACATATAATTATATTGTTATGCTCATCTAAATTTATATTCTATTTATATTTTATTTTAATTCATATAAATAAACTAAAAAAAATTGAACAAAACTCGATTTAAGATAATTATATATTATATTTGTAACACTCAAGCCCAGAAACAAGGATCACTCATGCTTCAAAACGACGTCGTTTTGAAGCATGGGCATCAGAGTAAGAAAGGTCAAAATGACGTCGTTTTAGAAAACTCCAAACAATGTTGTTTTGATGAAAGAAAAGGAAAAAAAAGCAACCAGAGGCGTGTACGCCTCTAACAGTTGAGAGATAAAGAGAGCCTGACTGCACACCAAGAGAGAGAGAGCATGCAGGCTTTCTGTCCTCCGCTATTAAGGAAAAAAAATA